GACCACTCACACAGTGCTCAGTGCTGCTGTGCTCTTCCTTTCCTGAACAGCCACCACCCTAACCATCTTCAGGGTCTTTTTCTTAGCAGACTTTCTCTCAGCAGAGTGAAGGTGCTCCCTCCTTCTCATCACAGACAAAACACCCTCATCTAGTCAGGACTGGCAGCAAGAACTGGCAGCTCTTGCTTCTAGCACTGTTAGTGAAGAAAAGTAGATCTCAAGTCAATGGTCACAACTCTGTTTGCCAAGTACCTGGGAAAAGACCTTGGGTTATACTTCAGACTGCTTGTTCAGAATCTCACCTCTGGCAGCAATAGTGTCATTGGAGAACAGAAGGACAATAGCATTCTTCCAGAGATTTAGACTACTTAATGAAGGAAAATTAATTTCAAAGCATTGAAGCTGAAGAATTACTTCTTTTTTTAATATATTGTGGTTATGTGTTTTAAGTAAACGTCGTCACCTACTCAATTTCTGAAAAAGAAATCTGTGGTAAGCAAAGCAGAAATGTGAATCTAAATCATTGAAAATCATCTCTTACACTGTCCCCTTGGAAATTCTGACTCACTGGAGGTTGCTGGTTAGATAACATAAAGACTCTTGAACTTTTCAATTCAGAAAATAGTATCTCAAATCCGAAAGTTTCACATACATACCTAGGAATATGTCCATAATTCTTTGACCTAACTGAGCAAAATTTTCATTAAACACATTGCAAGTGACCTCCATCCTATTTAATTTCCACTCAGTTCTGTATAGTTTACTGATTGCTGAATTTCCCTAACTATATTAAATGAAAAGTTAAATTAGCTGAATTATTGTTAAAGTCACAATAAACTACAAGATAATGTTAAATTATTTCCAAAAAACTAAAGCATTATGCCTCAGCTGGTAAGGAACCTCTTCAAAAACAATCAACTTACATACATGTTTGAGTGTATTTAATATATACAGATATAAATCATAAATTATCACAAAAATATCATGAAAAATAAAATTGTATCTCTCTGACAAGATTAAAGTTTTAACAAGGAACGAAATATGGCCTTATATCCATTCCTTCTTTATTTCTCAAAAATTCAACAAACTTACTTTTCTGGATTTCTTCACTTAGAATTTGGTTGACAATCTTTCATATTAACATGAAATATTTCCACATTGATCCTCCTACTGAATGTATACAAAATATTAATTTCAATTGCCACATTTATTGCTATGAAATGAAATATCTGAAGTCTAATTCAACAGTAATTAGGTCACTTAATGCTGTACATTGGTGGCACTGACAGGCATTTATTTTTTAAATTTAGTGTTATTTTCTTCCTACTCATACCAAGGCTTAAAGTGCATAGCCCCAGACTCCCAGTGCCTTCCCACAACCTATCTGTGAACCTGCTCCCTCAGTGCCCCATAACATGGCACTGTGCAGCTGTCCCAGAAGGCAGGAGTGGGTGCCAGTGTCTCCTAACTGTTCCTGCAAGGATGAGCTTACTGGTGCCCTGAGAGTGCCTAGAAGGCAAAAAGTTAAAACAAACACACAAAAAATTCTATCAACATTTTTTCTCTAAAACTGGGTTTTTTTGTTCCTTTTATCTTTAACTCAGATTTATCATTTATACATTTTTCCCATGAGAGGCACTGGACAGATCTTTAGAAATAATTTAGCTTCATCTAGATCTTGGAAATAATCTGTTGACAAAAGGATCTTGATCAGGTGTGGTGTTCTCTTCCTAGCACCCACACAAGTCCTGGCTGATAATGGGGAACATACACCATGAGTAGAGGGATGCCTGCCTGGATGGCTGGATGCAAGAAATATAGACCAGAAAATCAACATAGGAGGGAGAAAAAAAGATTTGTGCTGAAAATAAGTTTCAGGAGAAAAGGGAAGAGAAGGGAAAAGAAGTGAGATGTATTCCTCTGCCCACACCCCTCTATTGGCTCTGACAGCACCCAAAGGCACATCTTTCTTGGCTGCTCAGTCAACATCTTCAAGGACAGAAAGGAGACTCTGAGGACACAATTCTGTATTTGGCCCAGGAGCACTCTCTCAGGTTGGCCAGGACCTCCTTCCTGGCTCTTCCCACCTCCATGGTGGTGTTTCTGAGCAGCCCATTGGTCTGCAGTCTTTGCATCAGGACTGACTTGTGAGCAGAGCTGGGCAGAGAGGGACCCCAGGATCTGGGAACCCAAAGTTCCCTATCAATGTGGTGTAGTGCTCCCTTGGCTGCTGATCTAGCCTGCCCCAAAACACAATTCTTGTGACCCCTCTTGGCCACTCCCAGCAGGCTGGAATCATTGTCAGAACCAGATGTCAGTGGCACACTTAGGTGCATGTGAATTCAGTTCACAGCTGTGGGACCTGAAGACCACATATCTTTTCTCTTGACCAGTGCACCTTGACCCTAGGTTCATAATACTATGGTGCCTCTGAGCACCGTTGGAAACCACTTTGTGGTTCAGGCTGACCCCTACATGCCTCCCAAGGGCAGCAGAAGTTCTTTATCCTCCCACCTAGACTGAGAACAGCCAGGGGAGCTGGGTACAGGTCTTCACTGAAGAGGTCGCACTATTTCTCAGCCTCTTCCCAGTCCCATTCCTGCCCCACAGTTGTGGTATGGAAGCACTTTGCCAGATTGGGGCAAGTTCCATAACCTAGGATAATCTAAAGGTTTCCGGAGCATAATTGCCTAGGGCAGGTGGTATGGGGTCAGGGTGGAAAATAACAATTTATTGCAAATTATTATTTTGCATTACTTTCTTGTTACTGGAACAATATAGCCTTAAGAGGACAATAAGGTTCATTTGGGATCACTGTTCTGGAAATTCCCATCTGTGATCAGGTGGCCCAAAGATATGTGTAGTATTGGGAAAGGATAGTATCTGGTGGAATGGCTTACATCATGAGCCAGCAAAAGTAAGGAAAAGATGGAGGTTCTACAGACCCCTAAAAAGACCTGTCCACAGTGATCTAGTGACTCCAACTAGACCCAACCACCTGGAAGTCCCACCATCTCTCAATAGGGCCATTTTATAGATCAATCTTTTAACACTTGAAATTTTGGGGGACACTCATCCCAACACAAGCATTCTGCAATCAATTAAGAGTCTGTGCTCTATTTCAAAATTGTAAAGTGAAAAATAGCCACACACTGATAGAAGATAACTGCAACAATTGATAATTAGTAGAAAGAATGCATATGTTAATGACCAATATGAAAAGGATAAATACCCCAGTCAGAGAAGGGACATGAATATGTGGATAAGCTTTGCAATAAAGGGGGAAACATGAATGACCAAGTGTCATGCAGTAGACCATCAGGAAGTAGGAAAGGCAAATTCAGTCCACAGTGAGATGTCTAAGCAAAAGTACAATCTATGAAACCATGACAGTATCAAGGCTCATTACATGTGAAAAGTAAGGGGACCCTGAGATGCTGTTGGGGGAGTATACCAGATTTCATCAACTCTAAAATATTATTTTTTCAAGATAGTTTGTTCTTTTAAAGTTAACACAAAAGGAATAAACAAAAAATCTCAGAACTCAATACTTTTATCACTTGTTAATTTTATGTTATACACATTGAGGTCTCTTTTACAGCTATTAAGGAAGGGTTTTTAAGCATACAAAACCTTTATGAATATAAACTCAAATAAAATAAAATTGATCAAGATATTTCTAAAGCTGTTTCCCTTCATGATCTGCGGTTTCAGAATTCCTTTTCAATGCCATTACTGCACCCCTGTTTCCCCACACTGTGCCTCACTCCAAGTGCTGCGATGCCTTAGGGTCAAATCACTGGGTGTGTCCTTCCACCCACATGCCTCCCGTGAAGGAAGTCTGTGTGGCAGGGGTCTGTGTGGCTCCATCTAAACCTTGACAGGTCAGTGACTGCTTTGGCCAGAATACAGTGGAAGTGACAGTATGTGACTTCTGAGGTGATGTCATAGAGGGCACTACAGTTTCTATCTTGCTCACTACAAATATTTTGAGCTCTGAGTTCAGACCTCTGAGCCACCATAAAAACAGTGCACCCACCTTGAAAGCTCATGCCAAGAGGAAAATTGAGTCATAATAAAAGGACACACTTAGGGTCTCTGGGGATGGTAGAGATTTGGAGTTACCCTACTCAGGTGTCATATATGAGAGTGGGAAAGCCAATACTGACCTCCAGTCACCAGTAACCCAAGTCTTTCCCTGATGCTCAAATCTCCCCATAAGGTACCTCATGGGGACCCCTCTCTAATTTGCCATCCCTACCTGTCTGATTCACAGAAACTGTGAGCACAACAAAATTGTTCTTGTCACTGAGTTTATGTGCTTGTTACCAGGCAGTGGATAATGGGACTGACTTCCTATTCTAAGAGGACTTAGGCAAGAGCACACAGTATTCATCGCCTTCTAGATCCTGCCATCTCATGGCTGACTTCAGGGTTCATAAATGGCCCCTCCATTTCCAACCCACTGGCCTCCCAATTCCTGACTCCTCACCCACAGTGATGTCTTGATCTTCAGCTATCCTCTTTGGTTAACTAAATCCTGATTTCCTTTAGGTGACCCCTTAAGGACCAGCTGTAAGGAGATGGGTTGTGGGACAAGGAGATTTTTATCTTACACACCCTTCAAGGATCCAGTGACTGCTATTTGGTATTGTCTACATGAAGGGTATTGAGCAGAGTTCAGGTCACAAAGTCACCATGTCAACCTTCCTGTCAATCATAAGCACAGAAAATTCTGTCCCAGGGTGGGGGAAGGGCTGTGCAGGCAGCTGGTAGCAGAATACTCAGAGCTGCTGCTTCCCCAGTCCCTGTGCTCTGAGTAGGTACCTGGTAGAATGCTGTAGTGATCATTGGTGATAGGGCAATGGTCCATAGGGGCTATGATCCCTGGGTACAGGTGGAGGTGACAGAAAAGGAAGCCAGAGGTGGATAGTGCCCAGCCTACCTGTAAACCTGTACAGAGAGCTAAATGCAATTAAGTTCACAGGGACATCAAGAAAATGGTGATCCACAATTCCTGGCTGCCTTGCACTGCACTCTTTCTGCTACTGCTGCTTCTGCCACCATCCCTTTTGAGAGCATGGAGCCTACAGCATCATGGCGCTGGCTGGAGAATATTCCACCATGTGGGCAAGGGCTCAAGAAGCTACCACCACCGCCAAAGTCCTGGTGGATGGCAACGATGGACACAAAGGAAAACAAAAAATGAATGCCAGGGTGTGTTTGACCTCTACTTCATCTTGGACAAGTGAGTGGCCCTCTGGTTCTGTCCCCAGATACCCCAGGGGGATTTTCTTTTAGGTTCCAGTCACTATGGTCAGAACATGGCCTTAAAAATTGCAGACTCTAGAAGAGGACAAGCAGGGTTGTCTGTGGTCAGACCCCAGGCATGATCCTCAGCATCTTACTTACTGTCTATAAGGAGGGAACCATCACAGGGATCCTGGATGGCTCTTCCCCTCCAGCAGATCTCACTGGCCCAGATCTTGCTCCTACATGCCTCTCAGTCAGGTGATGGCTAGGATTCACCCTCAGCCTTGTGTAGGGCTCACTGCTGACTATTCTGGAGAGAGTGCTCTGTGGCCTCTGCTGGGCACTCTCCCAGTGCCACTGCTCAGAATGTCCTGTGCTTTTCTGCCTCTCATGTTTGCTTCTTCCTTCCCCCATGTTACCATCCAAAGCACCTGCACTGACAAGAGAAGGTGACTCTATCTCAGTATTGTCCTGGGGAAGCTAGATGGTGCCTTAGGCACCTGCTGGCTGTCTAGAAAGGTAAGGGTGAGTGGTTGTTTGGTTCTGGAGAAGTGGTTTGGACCAGTCCTTTCAGAGAGTAGCTGTGATTCTTTGGGTTTCTCAGCTGCCCTGTGGTAAGTACCTTATCCACTCCTCTAAGATTGTTGTGAGGATAGTGGGGGTTCGGCCCAGCCTTGAGATGTATGGAAGGGCCATTGGCATAGGTGCCAGTGTTAATGAAGTACTTGCTTATGACAGAGAAAGTACTGAAAATTGATATTCTAACTGTTTAAGGAGGCAGGTCAATCCCCACATTTTGGGAGGGTTATATTGAGGATGGAAGTGGTTCAGTCAACCACAGCTGGTTTGCTGCAAAACATCAGAAAATTAGAGATTCTCCCCTTACCTTTCTGCAAAAATACGAATAAGGTAGGGTCCTAGAGAGGGCCAGAGAAATGGTTTCCTGAGTAAAGAAGGTCCCCACTTGCAACCCCAGTCATTGCCTCACATGGATCCCACATGGCATCTTCAATGCCAGAAGACAAGCCCAGGTAATCAGGCCACACTTGGCTGGGGTTGGAACATGAGCTGAAGGGTCTGAACATTATCCAGACTGGAAAGCCAGGAAAGAAAGGAAGCAGCTCAAGTCCCCTGTGTATACCAGGTCAGTCTCCAGGATTGAGGAGATCTGCTGGATCTCCCTCAATTCCTAATGTCTGAATTTCCAATTGTCACTCCTACAAGCCTCAACAGAATCCTGTCTGAGGAGGAGTCCCTGCACTTCCATTTCCTACCCATGTTGTCAGATGTGGCAGCCTTGATTCTGGTCACAGTGAGCCAGGGAGGAGTCCCTCAGCCTGAGGGAAATAACACACCCTTTCCCCGTGAGCCATCTCACAGGGTCTGTTGGAAGGGGCTTGGTACCTTGCAGAGCCAGCATGGTGACAAGTACTTGGAGGGTGAGGACATCTTTCTCCCAGGGCTACCTGGATGAGGACCTCATGTGTGGGTGCTCTGTGGCTCTTTGAGAAAAGCAGCCCAGCCATGGAGTCACTTATTACCTATGGGGTCCTGGGAAATCAGCCTCATCCTTTTGTGATTCAGAACCTCTCACTGTAACATGATTGTCTTTGTACCCCCCTTGCCAGGTGAGATGAGGATGAAGGGAAAGTTGGTCGACTAGATGCAACAACAGAGGATGAGTGTGATGTGCATTTCCAGGCTAAGCAGAGACATAGCTAAAGTGCTCCCAGTGCTCTCAGGGCTCTTGATGGAGTCCTGGCTCCTTCAAGTTTTAGCTCTCTTCCTATGTCCCTCCTGCAAAGGCTGGGGGTGGGCTTCAGAGCACCTCTGCTGATCTAGCAGGGAAAAAGACCAAGGTTCAGGCCAAGCCAGGTTGTCTGAGACCCTTCACCCACAGGGAAAGTCCATTTTGATCATTCATTTCCCCCACCCCCATTAATTAGCTTTCCATTGTAACAAAATACCTGAGATAATCAACTTAAATGAAGAAAAGTTTATTTTGGTTCATGTTTTCAGAGATTCAGCCTCTTAGCCCTATTGCTTTGGGTCTGTGGCAGCATAGCATATCTTCGGGAGTGCACAGCACAAGAAACCCACTCACCTCATGCCAACCAGCAAGCAAAGGGCAAAATGGGGAGTGGCTGGGGTCCCAACATGCCTGTCCTTACACAGCCCCAGGGACCAAACTTTCTTCCCCTGGACCCCACCTCCTCAATGTTCCACCACCTTCCAATAGCACCACAGAATGAGGAACAGCTCTTCAGCACATGGCCTTTGGGGAACATTCAAGATTTAGACTATAGCACCTTGATCACCTCCACTCTATTGTTTGCATCTAATAATTGTCCCATTTTAGATATTGTGTAAGTGGGTCATATTGGCCTTTTATGTCTAGCATATTTCACTAAGCACAATGTTTGCAAGGTTCCTGCAGTGTAGCATCCATCAGAATGTCATCCATGGTTATGGCTGAATTATATCCTATCATATGTTCATGTTGTTGACCCATCATCTCATGATGGATAATTGAGTTTTTTCTACACTTGGCTATTGTGAACAATGCTGCTGTGAAAAATCTGTATATGGGTCTATGTGAGTCTGATCTCACTTCTTTTTGGGATAGTCCAAGAGTCATATTGCTGGATCATATAGTGATTCTGTGTTTAGCCTTTTCAGGAAATGTCAAATTGTCTTCCACCATGGTTGTATTATTTTACATTCCTTCCCCAAACCCACTGTCTTTGTTTTCTTTTGTTGTATTTATTTGCTTTTTATAATAGCCTTTCCAATGGATATGGAATTATATCTCATTGTGATTTTCCTTGGCATTTGTCTAATAAATATTTATATTATATTTTTTATGTGCTTCTTAGCTATTTATGTATCTCCTTCAGAGAAATGTCTATGCAAGTCTTTTGTTCATTTCTTTCTTGTTTTTTATTGATTGTTGTTTGCTTTTTATTGCTGACTTGTGGGACTTTATATTTTCTGGATTCTTACCCCATATGAGTTACAGGATTTGCAAATATTCTCTTCCATTTTGTGGGTTATCTTTCACATACTTTTTATTTTCTTTCTGAAATATGGTCATTTGTTGTTACATATTTATACATGCACACAATACACAATATAAGGATGTAATTTGGCCAATATCACTAACCAGCACATGCCCCTCCCCGCCTCAACTCCTACCCATTGGACCATTTTCTCATCTGATCTCCCTTTGATTTTTATAAATCTGTTCCCACCTTTCTCTTCCTTTCTCCTCTCTAGGTCCCTCATATTTCAGAAAACATATGACCCTTAACTTTCTGAGTTTGACTTATTTTACTTGGCACAACAGTCTCTAATTTCATCTATTTTCTTGCAAATGCCATAGTTTCATTTTCTTTATGGCTGAATAAAACTCCATTGGGTATATATGCCACGTTTTCTTTACCCATTCACCTAGGCTAGTTCAATAACTTGACTAATATGTATTGTGCTGCCGTAAACATGGGCATGCATGCATCACTATGGCATGAGGACTCTAATTCTTCAAGATAAATATAGAGGAAATGTATAGTTGGAACATATGGTGGTTCTTTGTATGTTCTAGATATTAATCTCTGTTAGAAGAGTAGCTAGCAAATATTTTCTCCCATTTTATAGGTTCTGTCTTCACATTCTTATTTGATTTGCCATGGAGAAGCTTTTTAATTCGATGCCATCCCATTTATTAACTCTTGGCATTCTATAGTTTCCCCTTAGAACCACTTTCATGTAGGCATGATGGTGCATGCCTGTAATCTCAGCAATTTGGTAGTCTAAGGTTGGAGGATCACAATTTTGAAGACAGCTCCAGAAACTTAGCAAGACACAGACTCAAAATAAAACTAACAAGAGCTGGATATTTGAGTCAAGTATTAAATGTCCTGGATTCAATCTCCACTACAAAAAAAAAAAAATTGCTTTGGTACTGTCCCAGAGATTTTGATAGGTACAGTTCCAGAGATTTTGATAGGTTGTATCTCTGTTCTCATTCATTTCTAAGAGTATTGATCAATATCCATGTATTTATATGGTTTCTATTATTTCTTTTGTGGTCAATTTCTAGTTTCATTCCATTATGATCTGATAAGACACATGGGATTCTATAGATTATTTTTGTATTTGATAAGATTTGGCTTCTCCCAAATAAAACTGGGTTTGAGGAGTACTCTTTTCCTTGCCTGCCATGCCTCCTTTGTAGGAGCTGGGTCAGAGGAGCCATCACAAAACCCAAAGAAAAACTTTAATAATAATAATAATAATAATAATAATAATAAAAATATTTGAATGTGAAAAAAAAAAGAAAAGATTTGCTTTGTGGCCTAGAATATGATCTGTTTTGTAAAAAGTTCTATTATGACTGAGAAGAAGGTAAATTCAGCTGTTTTGGCATAGAATATTTTGTAGATGTTCATTAGGTTGGTTGATTTGATTAATGCTTTTATCTAGGTTGAGATCTTTATTGAGTTTATATGTTGTTGACCTGTCTATTGGTGATAAGGGCGTATCAAAATTATTTGTCATTATTATGTTGTGGTCTCTGTGGGGTTTATGTCATGGAGCATTTTTATTTATGTAATTGGGTGTGTTGACATTTGGGGAATAAATGTTCAGTATTGCTCTATCTTCCTGTTGAATTGTTCCCTTAACCAGAATGTAGTGGCCTTCCTTGTCTCTTCTTTGCTTGAAATCAGCTTTGACAGATATGAGAATAGTTACTCCTGCTTGTGGTTTGTTGCATGAAATATTTTTTCTATCCTTTTTCCCTAAGCCTGTGGATGCCTTTGCCTTTAAGATGATTTTCTTATGAGTAGTATATAGTTGAATATTGATTTTTAATTTTTTGTTTTTTAATTAGTTTTACATGACAGTAAAATGCATGTATGCACTTTGATATATCATACATAAATCGGGTATAATTTCTCATTTTTCTGACTGTACATGCTGTTCATTCAGTTAACC